GTTACAGATTGGCAGGAGGTTGACAACCTGGGTGTACCTTCAAAAATAATTCCATACTTGGCTGGTCACCTCTTCAAACCATGTTTTATGTTGAAATTAAAATCTCATACATTGCTTCTCTTTTGTAGCCATTGCTGAAGCATCAGGGGCCAAAATGAGGTTCAATCCCTTTGTGCCTTCTGACCAGAGCAAGAAACTTAAAAACCACTTCAATGTGCCTTTCCATATTTGTAGCGAGGTTTTGTTTTCCCCTCTATCCAAAGAGCTGCGACAAGAAGAATAATGTTTGATCCATGTCTATTCAGAAAGATGATGTTCAGGTTGTCTGAGGATGCTACAAAGGGTCACAAATTGACAAAGTAGTCCAGGTATACAGGAAGACATAGATCATCTACAATGAACAAATGCAGTGGGAGAAGGCAAATAGCACAGCTGTTCAAGTGAGCATATACCACATCAAAGTAGTTACCAGTAGACTAAAATTGGGCAGGGTCCTCAAAAAGATCCTAGAATGCAAAGCCAAATATTGCCCTGTAAGAGAAGGGCAAATACAATGAAGAAACAATTGAGAAGATGCAGGAATAAAGTAACATTATATACAATTTTCATCAAAAATGAAAAAAAAAATCTGGTACATGATCTATTCCTTTTAGCCACTGCCACCCTTTTTAACCTTCTAGACAACTTTTCATTTCCTAGCTCAGATTGAGGGGATGTTGCAGCCTGGTCTAATCACTCTTATAATCCATTTGCACTTTTATCCCTTGCTGGTATCCTGATGATACACCCCCATCCAAGAGTTTGTCCTCAAAAAACATAGACACCTTGCGCAGCGGTTGGGCGCTGGGTTGCGAAGCTGCCCATGGCCTCTGCGGCGCCGGTTTGATCCCCGGCTGCTCCCCGGCCACGGGAGGAGGGTCCCACGTGGCGCGCAGACCTCTCCTGCCGCCCGCTGCTCCCCTCGGCAGTGTGCTTTGGTCCTTCTGCCTGCTCTGCTCCCCTCTCTGGCTCTGGTGAATTCTCTCGCCCTCCCGTGCTTCTGACTGTACTCTGTGCTTGTATAGATAAATAAATAAATAGATAAATAAATAAATAAATAAATAAATAAATAAATAAATCTTAAAAACAAACAAACAAACAAAAGAATGATTTAAAAAAAAAAAACATAGACACCTTTGTTGCCAATAACTTTGAGCACAATTTTGCAATCTATTTCCATGGTTATACCTTAAAATTTGTCTACCTCTGAAATCTTAAATTTTTATAAACCTGCCTAATAGCAGCTCAAAATCCCTCTGTGGTCTATACTTTAATTCTAGACTAATTAGATTTGTGTGGTTAAAAATCTCCTGGGGTTCATCTAGAAGGTAAGTTTTGCAGATTTTTAAAGGAAAGAGAAGGAAGAATTGGTTTGATCGATAGAAACATAAAGGATCTATTATATCAATCAGAAGAATTGCTATGGCGATGGCCCTGTAGGGAGAGATCAGGGTGCAAGCCAAATCTCAATGGGAAAATCCTATCGGGTAGAGTGAGAGATGAGTTAGTTAAATGTAAGCAGGGGGATCAATTTGACATGAGGGCTTTAATTTGAAATGGGAATTGGTGTCTTTCTCAGAGAAGCGTAAGTTTTATGCCATAGAAAGGCAGCAGCAATACTTAAACCTCTCCAGTAACATAGGTAAGTTTTTAAGGGCAATTAATGATTTCCTGTCTAAGGACCAAACCATTCCTAAGTACTTCTGGGTATGGATTTTGTACTACTAAGTTTCAGAGAAATTTTATGAAGTAATGATTTTAGGCAACTGGCGTATTATATATATATATATTTATTTTAAACATTATTTATATATATGTTGTTACAGCATTGTTTATTTTGTTCAATGTTTGATTTCTCTTCTGAGGTGTAATCCCCATAAAATGCCCACCACCAAGTCACCCGTGAACTGTCACCATAGTCTCTTACGCTCTTTGCTCCCTTGTTTTGATCCCTCTCATTCCCCCTCCCTTGCTGTATGTCTTTGATTTATAGTTTGCGTGCTAGTTGTCTTTTTTTCCCTGACCCCATGTTTGGTTTCCCTATATTCCTATAAGTGAATAAGTGAAATGGCATATTATATTTTAAATAAACATTAAATACTTATTAATGTAATAATATATAACAATGTATTATATTATGTAATTAATATATACAATAACTATCAAATAACTAAATATTAAAAATTTGTGTCCTAGTCAAAGGAATCAGCAGATATTCCTTATCTGCTATGTATTCCAGAAAGACCATATACAAGAGGAAGTATTCAGCAGTTAAATCCAGGATTGAAAAGAAAGAATCTTCTGGCTACAGTCACAAAACCAATTAGTGGTGACAAGAATGAAGGTACACAAGTGGCTAACTTTGCAAGATGCCTGGATACTATTCCACTGAGGATGTGGCTTGAAAGCCTTTGATCCACAGCAAAAAATCCCTCAGTCAGTGAGAAAACCACGAGCGAGCCAGCCTCACTCTTGGGACCATTTTGATCTTCCTCACCAGGCACCACAGAGGGAAGCTGGTGATTTTTCCCGAAGCAGCTGAGCAGTGGCTTGTTACCTTTGTCCCTCAGTCAAGTTTCCTTTGCATAGGACACACCAGAAATTTGTCATCCCCACCTCCACCAAAATTGTTATCAGTGGTGTGAAACAAAATGCCTCACTGATGATTACGTCAAGAAGAAGCAGTGTAAGCTCTGGCACCAGGAAGGTGAGATCTTCTACACAGAGAATGAGAAATACGAGATCACAGAGCAGCACAAGGTTGATGACAGAGCTGTGGACTCACAAATTTTGCCAAAAAACAAAGCTATTCCTCAACTCCAGGGCTACCTTCTGTGTTTGCTCTCATCAATGGAATTTTGCTCACCAAATGAGTGTTCTAAATTTCTTACTAAGAATCTAATTAAATAACTGATCCATTAAAAAAATTAAAACCCACTTTAAATATTTTCTCTGGAAATAAATACTAACTTTGAGTCAGTTTCATTTATTCAAGAGATCATTAGCCAATTTTGGTTGAAATTTTAAAGTTATTCATGACTCTCTCTCTTGTTGCCAATATAGGCAGCCTTTGAGATAGTTGCAGAGACCACTAATACTTTTGGACATTCATGCCCTGTGTAATAACCTCCCCTGAGTGAACTGGACCTAATGACCCATTTCTAACACAGAAGATGGCAAAAATGCCAGTTCTGAGATAAGGTTATAAAAAGACTGAGGCTCCCATTTTGCCTTTTGTCTTCTCACTCACTTGCTTTGAGGGAAGTTCACTACCACATTGTGAACTTTCCCAAAGAGACATCCATGCAGCAAAAAATGAATGTCTTTGGCCAAGAGCCAGTGCGGACAAGATGCCTGACAGCAGTCACACAGTGTGAGTTTAGAAGTTTGTCTTCCTAAGCCTTGAGATGACTACAGCCCGGGTTTACATGGTAGCCTACAGAAAACTCTCAGCCAAACCCTGCTCTGTCTTGCCCAGATTTCTGACCCATAAGCTGTGAGATAACAATTGTTCCATGTGTCAAGCTGATAATTTGAGGAACAGCAAGAAATCATTGATACACTCCCCTTTCCTTAGCCTATTTTCAAATCTTAATAAATGGAGAAATCTATCTAACTTTGGTCAACCTGGAAATCATTAAACTCTATGAAAGGAATAAATGAGTGTGTTGAAAATAAAGAAGAGTGAAAATCTATTGGCAGTCACCTATTTGGGTGCTCTCTATCTATGTTAATCTATCATCAAAAAAAATTCCTTCCTATGGATCTGTTTTGGTAAGATGAATGTTCTTGTGTTGATTCACCTACACTTGGATCTTTAGATCCAATGACACATATTTGTGTACTGGTTGGGATGTATGGTGTAAACAGTGACTAAAGAAGATGGTGAGAGGCTAACAGAAATTGGAGTCATAGGTTTCTTGAGACCAAGGAATCGAATCATCTTTGATTACCTTAGAGATCTCTAGCCAGAGCTGTACAATAGAAATATTATGCAAAACACATATGTAATTTGAAAAGATAAAAAGCAGATAAAAATAATTTTAATATTTTCTGCAGCCCCAAATATCAAAAATGTTATCATTTTAGTATGTAGTCAATGTAAAAATTGGATATTTTATAGTGTTTTTTATACTGTATTCAAAATCCAGAGCTCATTATAAACTTTGTTTCTCAGTTTGGAACCTAAATGTAATGTAAACACCTATGTTTCACAACATCAAAAAGGTTGAGAAAGTGGACTTGCATACCTAAAATGTTCCAAACATATACAAAAAAATTCCAGTAGCTGAATTCAGAATTTTAGTTAAGTTTAAATTAATTAAAATTAGATACATTTCAAAGTTTAGTACCTCAACTGAACTACCTTTGAGCCATCCTTCAAACGTTTGACAGTCATATGTGACTGCTGGCTCTAGAACCTAGCAGGCACTCAATAAATGGTTACCAGACGGATTAATTTCCTAACATTATTTCATCAATTAAATTTGCCATAAATTAAACCAAAGGCTGCCTGAAATTTCTCCCAGAGAAGAAATTGTAGTAATAATTGCCAGTTAGTAACAACCAAATTATATTCAATATTATGTGATTTTTACTTATATTATTACCCTGAAGAATGCTAGCATACGCTACACAGTGGAATTTGAACTTTGAGTCATCAGGGAATCCTACCGGAAATCTTGAATTCTTTGATGACAACCACTTATTCTTATTTTTGATTCATATGATAACTTGAGTATTTAAATGTTTTCTCTAATAAATATAGGCTTAAAGTCAACTACTAATAAATCATGAATGAAAAAAAAATTATTTTAGGAGGGGAGATTTTCAGAAACATTTCAACCAATATTAACTTCACATCAAAAAATTATGCTGTATTAATTTTGCATATTTCTATAACACATGGATTTTTTCCCCCCTATACACACCGTCAATCCTCCATGGTTCCAGGGCAATACATAAGAAGTTCAAATTTTGGATTGGGGTGTAGTATTCATCTGGAAAGACAGCAAAGATTGATAGTAAACACATGCTGTCTCAGGATATTTAATAGAGTTACTTAGAATACGGAAGTTCAGAATATTCGTCTTACCACTTAAATTACTTTCCTAAAGCTAAAGTTATTTTTGTTCTTTTGGTCATATGAGAAGGAGACTGTGCAAGTATTAATAGGCTTAGTTTCCAAATCAAGGCAGAGGTTTAAGGCTTAGAAAATGTAGTGGATCTTCAAACTTTTCTTCCTTTTTCCTTCCTTCCTTCCTTCCCTTTCTTTTTTCCTCCTCTTTTTCTTTGCTATAAATAAAAAAAAAATTAGAGATAAGTTGGCCATGAAATTTGAGGGTATATATATATATATATATATATATGCATACACACACACAGCCCCATAGACTCAATGCTAGCTCTAAACTTTTCCCCTTTTAATGATAGGAACTCCCATCCACTAGTCTAGTCATTCACCTGATAATTATACAGTTTTCATCTTTGATTTTTCAATTTTGTTTGGCTTGGGTCAGTTGTCTCAGTCTCCAAAATGTAAGTTATTACTTTAAGAGGAAAGTATTTATTGATTTATTAGTTGGTGGTTTGAATTAAATAAACAGAGAAAAAGTTCTTTCAAAAATCTAAATTCCCAGTGTTTTTAAAAAAGAAGTGCTATGTGATAAAACCATGGAATTGACAGCTGAGTAAGAAGAACCCAAAAGTAAGTTCAAAAGTAAAGGAAGTTAGGGAAAATTAAGTTAATTTTAATTATATTTTCATTTTTACGTATGCCAAGTGCATATAATTTTTTTAAATGCATGTATAGATAAACAAAAGCTCTTCAAAAGAGTATAAAATAAAAATTCTAAATAAGACATTTTACTCAGTATTACATGAAGTATATCTTACAATCAGTAGCACCTTATATTTGATGGAACATAATAATCCAATCCACACACCAATCTTTGAATTTATTTTTGAATTCGTTATATGAATGAAGATATTATATATCCTTATAAGTAGTTTTAAAATACCAAAATGCTCAATTATAGAATAATACCTGAAAATTGCTTTTTTTTTGAAAAGTCAATGATTACTAAACAGACTTTTTTTTAAATTTTAAGATTTATTTATTTATTTATACATACAAGCACTGGGTACAGTCAGAAGCGCAGGAGGGTGAGAGAATTCACCAGAGCCAGAGCGGGGAGCAGAGCAGGCAGAAGGACTGAAGTACACTGCTGAGGGGAGCAGCGGGCGGCAGGAGAGGTCTGCGCGCCATGTGGGACCCTCCTCTGGTGGCTGGGGAGCAGCCGGGGATCGAACCGGCGCTTCAGAGGCTGCGGGCAGCTTCACAACCCAGCGTTCAACCGCTGGCCACTGGGGAGGCCCTTACTAAACAGACTTGACTTGAAAACAGTTTGAAATATTTTAGGGGCAAAAACGTAAAAATGCTAAAATATTTTTATTAGTTTAGCATTTACAACTTCATGCTCATGCTCCCCGTTCCCAAAGCTCATTGTTTTTTTCCTTATGGAAAAAACCACAGACAAGGCAAGTATTAGAAGATCTGGGGTCCTGTCCTGACTATGTTATTCACAAATTATATCTTGGTAGACCACAGCTTCTCTAGGTAGGGTACTGCCAGTGCTAAAAATGTTTAAACTCTAAAACGTCTACATTTCAACTGATAGTCATTATTTTTAATCTGAGATGCCTCACAAAACATTGACATGAAAACCATACCAAAAGATAATAGAAGGAGCAGATATTATTTTCTCCTAACCCTGTACCACAATTTTAGAAGTCTTGTTCTAGTGTTAATTAGGTATTACATTGTTTACCCAACCATTCAAAAAATATTTATTGAAAGTTTCTAAGTGCTGAGCTGAGTAGATACAGCCTTTGCCCTCTTGGAGGTTAGGACCCAATGAGATTGACAAACATTAAATAATTTATGATTACAAATTATGATATAGGCTAAAGCAGGGAAGTGCAGGGTGATAGAGATTATACAAAGGAGACCTAATTTAAATTGGATGGGAGGGGAAGACCTCTCTAAGATTTAAACTGAGACCTATAGAAGGATTTGTACAAGTTAGGTGTGTGTGTGTGTGTGTGTGTGTGTGTGTGTGTGTGTGTGTGTGTGTGTGTGTGTGTGTGTTGAGGTAGAGATGGGGGTCTGCATTCCAGAAAGAGGCAATGGTGAAGCAGGAAGAGTTTGGTGTGTTGTCAAGGAACAAAAGTAAGGCTGGAGGGGCTGCATTAACAGGAGATGAACTGTAAAGATACATCATATGGTGCAAGGTTTGGGAGGTGCTGCCAAGGAGTTGGAATTATATTGAGTTCAGTGGGAAATGAAGGTTCTAATGGAGGTGGGCTAGAATGGGATTTAAGCCTTGCATTTTTAATGTTTAAAATTTATTTTCCCCCAGCTAAACTGAGGTATAATTGACATATCTACATATACTTTAAATATAATTGTGTATATTTAAGGTATACAATGTGAGGGTTCAATACAGTATATAGTGCAGCTTATTACTGGCACATGTATCAGGTCAAAGAATTACAAAGAGTGTGTGTGTGTGTTGTGAGAAAGTTTAAGATCTACTCTTAGCAACTTTCAAATATATAACAATATAATATTGTTAACTATAGTCCCCAAATTTAATGTTAGATCTCCGGGAGTTATTTTTCTTGTAACTGCAAATTTGTACTCTTTGACAATTTTTGTTTTAAATATTGAGAAGGGCCACCCTGGTGGTGCAAGATTTAAAGTCAGCACTCTTAAGCTATCACCAGCCACTGCATCACAAGTTTGATCTCCAGCCAGCTGGGGAGCAACCCACCTGGTGCAGCAGACCTCCCCTGCCTCGCCCACTGCTCCCATCAGCAGTGTATTTATGTAGATCTGCCCTTTCTGTTCCCCACTATCTCTGGTGAATCCTCTTACCTCCCCCCCCACACCTCCGGCCTATACCCCAGTTCTTGTATGCATAAATAAATAAATCTTTAAAAATAAATAAATAAATATTGAGAGCTTTCAGGTTAATGAGCTTATGGAAATTTTGGGAGAATGGTGCCCTTGGAGAGGGTGTGGAAACTTTTGTCCCCATCTTGTCTCATATTGCTTCCATCTGGCTACTGATTTGTATCCTTTGTAATAAATCAGTGATATAGTGAGTAAATGGGGGGAAATGTTGATTGCTAGCTCTTTGGAGAATGGATTGCATGAAACAAGGTAGGCAGCTAATACTCTTGTCTATAAGAGAGGTGATGGTAATATATGAACAAGGATCAAGGCAGTGGAGGGGCAGAGAAGAAAGCGGATATATTTTGAAGGTAGGGTTAAGGGAATTGGGTAGAGGGGTGCTGTGAATGACCCTCAGGTTTCTTCCACAAGTAACTGGGAGTTTGGTAATACCCTTTACAAAGACGGGAAGGAAAGTGGCACAGGAAGAAGCTTGGGGAAGGAGTTAGAGTGAAGTTTTAAACATGGTACGGTTGAAATATTTATGAAAATTCCAGTGTGAAGCAAGGCTTTTGACATACAAGTCAGGAGGTCAGAAGAGAAGTCAGCTTGGAATACAAATTTGGGAGTCACCAGCCTATCGATGGCATTTAAGTGAGTTCTAAACTAAAGGTGCTGGGGTATTTCTTCCCTTACCATTTATTGATATAAAATGAGGAAAAAAGTATTTATTTTGAATTGGGCTATGTGATAAAACCATGGAATTGACAGCTGAGTAAGAAGAACCCAGAAGTTCCAAAAGTAAAGAAAGTTAGGGAAAATTAACCAGTTAATTTTAATATTTTCATTTTTATGTATGCCAAGTGCATATAATTTTTTAAAATGCATGTCCAAATAAACAAAAGCTCTTCAAAAGAGTACAAAACAAAAATTCTAAATGATAAGACAGCAAATTACATATATCCAAAAACTTACATATACCAGAGATGTCACAAAACCAAGACCAGTAATTTTGGATTTTAAATTAAATGGCCTGACATCTATATATTACTTTTTTCCTATCTTTTCTGGCTGCATACTTTTTGATTGCTTTTAGAAAATCATATACTAGGGCCTCCTTGGTGGCGCAAGGGTTAAAGACACAGCGCTATCAAGCTATCTATCGCCAGTCACTGTATAAGAGATGGATCCCTGGCTAGGGAGTTGACCTACTTGGAGAAGACCTCTGCTGTCTTGCCTGCTGCTCCCTCAGTAGCATATTTCAGTCAATGTACCTGTTCTGTTCCCCATTTTATCTCTGGTGAATCCTCTCACCCCCCCTGCACTTCTGGCCCACACCCGAGTTCTTATATGCATAGATAAATAAATCTTTTTTTAAAAAAAGGAAGTCGGGCCTCCCCGGTGGCGCAGATGGTTGAGCGCAGCGCTGAGAAGCCTTCGCAGCATGGTTCAATCCCATTAGGCTGGGGTGATACCCACATGGCGTGGCAGACCTCTCCTGTCTGGCCTGCTGCTCCCCTCAGCAGTGTATTTTGGTCGGTCTGCCTGTTCTGGTCTCTGCTCTATCTCTGGTGAATCCTCTCACCCTCCTGCACATCTGGCCTGTACCCCAGTTCTTGTGTATATGAATAAATATTTCATTTTATTTTTTAAGTCTTTTTTTAAAAAAATATTTATTTATTTATTTATTTATTTATACAAGCACTGGGTACAGTCAGAAGTGCGGGAGGGCGAGAGAATTCACCAGAGCCAGAGCAGAGAGCAGAACAGGCAGACTGACGAAGTACACTGCTGAGAGGAGCAGCAGGTGGCAGGAGAGGTCCGTGCACCATGTGGGACCCTCACCCTGCTGCGGCTGGGGAACAAACCGGTGCTGTAGAGGCTGCAAGCAGCTTCACAACCCAGCGCTCAACGGTGAGCGCCACCGGGGAGGCCCAATTGAATTTTTTTATGAAGCATGGTTTACCAAAATTTGTTACAATCAGTAATTTAAAATTTCTACATCACAACTCATGACCTATTATGCCTTATCAATTTTGAGAACTACCATTAAATTTGGAGAAATCTCAGTTTATTGAGCAGTAATATTTCAGGGCCATTTCACTGCCTCAGTGCCAGTTTTACATGCCATCTTGTTTTGAACCACCGGGAATTGTTAGGACAAATGTGTTATATAAGCTAAGAAAGTCCTATCATAGAGGCATAAAACATATGACTTCACACAAAGTCATGCCTGCTGCTTGAAATATAAGCTTAGCCCTATATACAGAGGTATCTGATTAATTCTATTTTTTAGCATTCCCAATTAAAGTGAATGACTTTTATAATTACATAGATTGTATTACTGAACGTATTCCTAACAGGAGAGGACTTCCATTTTCACTAGGTGCTGATGAGAACCAAAGTCTCCAGTTTACAATTTCAGATATTTGATGATTGGAAGAATTTTTTTTTACCTACTAGACTTGAATGTTTCTAATGTTGTTTCTCCTACACTACACCAAGATACTGCACATTCATATTGCAATACAACCTCTTGTCCTAGATCTGAGCGTCAAGATTCAAGGTGTTGACTTTTTTTTTTTTAAAGATTTATTTATTTATGCATGCAAGAACTGGGGTACAGGCCAGAGGCGTGGGGGTGAGAGGACCCACCAGAGACCGAGTGGGGAGCAGAACAGGCAGATACACTGAAATACAATGCTGAGGGGAGCAGCGGGCGAGACAGGAGAGGTCTGCTGCACTAAGTGGGTTAGCTCCCTGGCAAGGGATAGAACTCATGTTGCAGTGGCTGTTGGTAGCATTACAGTGCTGAAACTTAACCACATGCACCACCAGGGAAGCCCCATTGAGAGAGATTTTAACTGAGAATCTAAGAGGCTGAATTATGGATTTGATGGATTTCAGTGAATAATGAAGAGAGAATATATTTCATCCTGAGTGGGTTGAAGGCAACAGGAGGAAAATCCTGAATGACACAAATCCTAATGAGATGTCTGTAATTTAAGAGAAAGATCATAGAACATCGGAGTTAAAAAAAGCTTACGTTTACTTATTTTGGGACAAGTCATAGACCCCTACATTATCTTTTAAAGTTTCAGATTCCCAATGTTAAAATAATACCTCATCTCAGGCCTCCACGGTGGCGCAGCAGTTGAGCTCTGGGTTGCGAGGCTGCCCGCAGCCTCTGCAGCGCTGGTTCGATCCCCGGCTGCTCCGCTGCCACGGGAGGAGTGTCCCACATGGTGCGCAGTCCTCCCCTGCCACCCGCTGCTCCCCTCAGCAGTGTACTTCGGTCCTGCCTGCTCTGCTCCCCACTCTGGCTCTGGTGAATTCTCTCACCCTCCCGCGCTGCTGACTGTGCCCAGTGCTTGTAAAAATAAATAAATAAATCTTAAAAAAAAAAAATAATACCTCCTCTCAACAGTTTCACAGGATTGCTGAGAAATGAAAAGCATGCCTGGCTGCTTTTTTGAGACATCATTACAGTAGTTGACCTTATCATCATATAAGTAGAAGGATACATGAGATAGTGCTAAAGAATATTAATGGTAATAAAATATAAAATTGCCAGAGTAGAATAATGCCTTCTAACAGAAAGATTGTTAAAATTATTTTGCAAATAGGGCCTCCCCGGTGGCGCAGCGGTTGAGCACTGGGTTGCGAAGCTGTCCGCAGCCTCTGCAGCGCCGGTTCCATCCCTGGCTGCTCCCCGTCCCCAGAAGAGGGTCCCACCTGGCCCGCAGACCTTTCCTGCCGCCCGCAGCTTCCCTCAGCAATGTACTTTGGTCCTTCTGCCTGCTCTGCTCCCCATTCTGGCTCTGGTGAATTCTCTCCCGCACTTCTGATTGTACCCACTGCTTGTATAAATAAATAAAAATAAATCTTAAAATAAAATTATTTTGCAAATAAAAATGTCACTTAGTGGTAGTGAGATTATTTTCTTCATGTTCTCATATCACTCAATCTTCAAGAGAGAGTCATTGAAGTAAGCATTACTTTCATTTTTTAAAAATTTATGCATACAAGAGCTGGGGTACAGGCAAGAGATGCGGGGGGTGAGAGGATTCACCAGAGACAGAGTGGGAAACAGAACAAGCAGACTGACTGCAATACATTGCTGAGGGGAGCAGCGAGTGAGGCAGAAGAGGTCTGCTGCGCCATGTGGGTAGCTCCCTGGCTGCCCGGGGATCGAACTCATGCTGCAGAGGCTGTGAATTGCTTCATAGTGCGGTGCTTAACCCCTTTCGCCACCAGGGAGGCCCCATTACTTCCATTTTTAAAATGAAGAAACCGAAGCTAAGGAAGTATGAGACATTAAAAGTCACATGAGTGTAATGTAATACAAACCAGGTTTCAAAACTAGTTATTTTAATTTAAAATCCACGTATCTTTTTTGTCTCATTAACATTACATTTACTATTTACAACACAAGCTTAAAGTTCAGAAGTTATCATGCGAATTGCATTGAATTATAATAATTTAATTGAAATGTATTTCACAAAATATTTCTGCAAGGAATACCAAGCAGGCAGCATTGGATGGCAGAGGAAGAGGAAACACTACAAGGGGCTAAAAAGGCAAGAGGTAAAACAAGAGAAAGGTGTGACTGGAAGGAAGGGTGAAGAGTGCTATGAAAATGATTAATACTGGTGAATATTACAAAGAAAACATAATACAGCTGAAAAATATGTAATAAATTTGTTGATGAATATTAGCGATAGCTCTGGCAGAACATAATTTAACAAAGCATGGGCAAAAGGGATGAATAAGAGATGAAGAGACCGGTTATGGATGGGTGATTAAAAAACTGCCTGTGAGAAGTTAAGGCAAAAGAGAGAAACCAATGGGAAATGGGGGTTTTCTTTTTTTTTTCTTTTTAAAGATTTTTATTTATTTATGCATACAAGGACTGGGGTACAGGACAGAGGTGTGGGGTGGTGGTGAGAAGATTCATCAGAGTCAGAGTGGGGAGCAGAACAGGCAGATTGACTGAAATACACTGCTGAGGGGAGCAGCGGGCGAGTCAGGAGAGGTCTGCTGTGCCATGTGGGTAGCTCCCTGGCAGGGGATCGAACTCATGCTGCAGTGGCTGTGGATAACTTCATAGGTTGTGCCTTAACTCCTTGTGCCACCAGGGAGGTCCAAACCCTGTAATAGCTTTTTCAGGAAAACTACTAATCCTTCAATATGGTTTTACTTGGAGTTTGTGATAAAGTCTCTGCTTAATTCTCTACGATTACCATTCCCTCTAACAATCTAGACTCTTTAACCTCAATCAAGGCTTTCTGCACAAGGTGTCTGCTTTGCCTGGAATGCTTTTCTTGCACTTTTGTAAACTGACTTAGCAGAGGCACTACCAATAGTGATAGCTAAACTGTGAATTCTTACTAAGCATGGGTCACTTTATATACACCATTACTTAATACTTTATGAAGCAGGCACTATTTTTGTGTTTTACAGATAAGGCACAGAGAAGTGAAGCAAGTTAGCCAGAGTAACACTGCTACTAAGTAGAGCCACTGGGATACAAACTCAGATCTCTCTGAATTCAAAGCAGATGTTCTCAATTTCTGCTCCGGAGGTATCACAACTTTCTTCAGAAGTCTAACATGTTTACTATCCTCTACTAGCCAATGTGACAAAGTTAGCACCTGATACTGCTTTATATCACTGTGCACTTTATTTTACCCCATCTAGAGTATAAGGAAGCCACTTGAACTTAGACAAAAGGGCATTTTATTCACTTGTCTTCCCAGTTCCAAGCAGAGTTCCTTGTTACCCCTAAAGGGTATTAATATCCGTTGAAAAAATATTTGAAAATATTTTTGAACATGAAAACATAAAACAATGGTATTATTTTAGAATTCAGCTAAGGAACATCACCAGGCTTTACCAGTCTGTGCTCTACGGAATCCACTTCCTCCCCCCATTTCATAGAGTTGTACATTTACTTACATCTGTTCTTCTGTGACAGTTTGTCACAATTCCTTAAATACCTCCAGCAAACATGCCCCCTTTCGAATGAGATAGTGCCTTTTGAAAACAACATTTTACTGAGAAAAACTAAAAAGTTAAAATTTTCTTTTCACAGCAATTCTTTAAAAATCCAGAAAAACATTCTCATATACATCATGGATCGCCCAGGAAAAACTTTTTAAAAATGAATTCAAATCAAGACTAGGTTGGTTAGCAACCAGACACCTTTATAAATGAAATCAACCGGTGTTGCGGAAGCCCCAGAGGGCATCTAATTTTTCAAAATTCACTGAAGGCTTTCAACAGTATGGCCAGAAAAGAGGTGCTGCACTGAGCGGGGGTTTTGTCTACATCAGCTTTTGGTTCAACATTTTGACAAAGGGCCCAGAAGTTAAAGTAATCAGTCCTGTAGCTCTCATCGCCTTCAAAGGGAAGGAAAAAGAGAAGGTGGAATAAGAGAGGGAGAGGAGGTGTGGCGACCAGAGGAAACTAGTCAAGAAGAGCAAAAACTTGGGGCCAGTACCCAGGTGCGGTCCCTTAAAACGACCGTTTACATTCTGGATTTTCAATGAGAAAAATGACGGCCGGCTGTCTAAGAAGATCTACAGAAAGGAAAGGTAGTTATCTCGTCTCGTGAGCACTTCACCCGGGTCACACTCAGGGAACGCCGCCGCAGACGGGCCTGCCAACCTCCACCAGCTCGCGGATGCCCCGGGGGCCCGACGCCAGGCTGGGCTTCCCCTCGCGCTCCGGCTACCCACAAGCCACCGCGCCTCGGCGCGCACGCGCAGAGGCGACGGCCGTCTCAGGAAGAGGAAAATGGAATAAACAAGTCGGAGGAACCAGAGCGCGAGAGAGCGAGTGGAGGCAGAATTTAAAAATAAACCGGCCCCTCCGCCCTCTCCACCCGCTCGCCGCCACCGCTCCCCGCCCCCCTTGCCCGCGCCCTCGAAGTCCCCGTCTGGGCCCGCGCGCCCACCTAGTCGTCCCGCGCGGCCCCTTTAAGAAAAGAGAACGAGCGAGTGAGTGAGAGAATCCCAACTCTCCCCCTCCCCTCCCCTCCCTCCGGCCCCTCCTCCCTCCCCTCTCCCCTCCCCCTCCCGGGCGGCTCCGGCTCCCGCAGCGGGACAGACCCACCCGCCCCGGCTTTTATCCGGCACCGGCAGCGTCTCCCTCCCCTCCCCTGTTTATGGTGGCGGCGGCCGCGGCGGCTCCTCGGGCGGCAGAGGAAGACGAGGCTGCAGCGTTGCCATGAACAGTGGCGGCGGCCTCCCGCCCCCCTCGGCCGCCGCCTCCCCGTCCTCCTCCGCGCTGGCGGCGGCAGTGGCGGTCGTGGCCCCGGCGGGGGTCGGGGGCGTCCCCGGCGGGGCGGCGGCGGGAGTGAAGCTCAAGTACTGCCGCTACTACGCGAAGGACAAGACGTGCTTCTACGGGGAGGAGTGTCAATTTCTGCATGAGGACCCGGCCGCCGGCGCGGCCCCGGGCCTCGGCCTCCATAGCAACAGCGTCCCCCTGGCTTTGGCGGGCGCGCCGGGGGCCGGCTTTCCGCCGGGAGCAGTGCCGGGCGGGGGCGCCGGGCCGCCCCCGGGGCCCAAGAAGTCGGATTTGGGGGCCCCGGGGCCGGAGCCGCAGCCGGCGGAGGCGGCGGCAGCGGGATACTCGATGGACCGCGGCTGGCGAGTAAGTGCGGGTCGCGCCGGGAGGGTGGCCCCGGCCCCGGGCGGCGGCGGCGGCGAGGCCTGGGGGCCGGATGAGGCCCTGCGGCCGATCCTGGCCCGCGGGTCCCCCCCTCGGCCTCCCCGGGCGGTCTGAGAGGCCTAGGCCCGGCCTGAGCCCTCCTTCCTCCTTCCTGTTTCCCTCCCCACAGCCTTCCGCGAGCCGGGGAGTGGAGGGAGGCTGGGTTCCCGGGAACGTGGGTGGGTGCACTGGGGTGATGTGGGTGGGGGCGGGGGGAAGGGGGATGGGCCGAGGCGTGCGAGGTGTGAGAAAAGGGGTGTAGTTTCCGGGGGGTGTGGAAAGGGGTTGGCTTTGCAGGCACATGTGTCTTGCGTGCCCGTGTGGAGTGGTGTCTGCTGAAGGTTGAGGTTCCCCGGTGGGTGTGTGCGGGTCGGGGCGGAAGGTGGGGGGCGGGCTTAAGGCTTCCTGGAGTAGGTTGAAAAGAACGGGAAAAGTTTGTGTAAGGCTTATTTATGGAGCAAGGTTTTCCAGGGAGGAAATGCTTTCTAAGGATTATTAGTGAACGAACGGACAGCAGCTTTTAGAGTGTGCTTCGGTTTAGAGTGTGCTTCGGTTTAGTGCTTACTGTTTAGAGTGGGAACTTCACCAGACTTGCATTGCAGCATAGTTCTCCTGAAAGCTAGAATAAGTTTACTAGTTAGTACGGACCGTATCTTCTACAACTCTCAGCTTAGAGCTTTGAATTCGTGTCACATGCAGCGAATATTTGTATGGCACTGAACACTTGACTTCAGATAGCTCAGGGGTGTTTTTATTTATTTATTTTTTACTTTTTCATTCGTTGTTATCTAGTGACTGGCAACATTTTAGTTGTTAGTAAGTGGAGTTTACAATTAAAATAAGTGTAATCTGTTTTACAGAATGTTAGTCTTAAGGAAAAAGAGCAGATGTCAGATACTTCTTTAAAAAAATTGCTATGAGTATATTGAGCATTTCTAAACGAAATGGAAAGCCCTACTTTATTGTGAATTCTAGTTTTTAGATCTAAAATAATTGGATGGGCAATTTAACTTGAACGCGAAAACATTTTTTTTTTTTTTTAAACTGAACTTGACTTGAGGTTTTACCTGTATGAGGGTTATTAAGTGTCCTCGCAGAGATTTTTGTTTTTTAAAAGATTGTGTTTTTCTTTTGGTGTGATGGACGTCTTTAATGCAGATGCATTTGGTAATGTTGATATGCTAATTGTTAATTAGTAACAAAATGTAAAAAATGGTTACTTCATTGGTGTAATTTTATCAATTTTGAGCAGTAACTTTCATTTTTAAAGTAAACTTTTGCAAGATCTGTGAGCTGTAGGTCAAATTAATTTAAGAGGAATCTTCGATCACTTTGCAGTGAAACTGAACCAGGTTTGTTACCTTTAGAGACATTTAAAAAATTTTTGGCATTTAATCTATGCTCTTTGTAGAATTTTCTAATTAACACAGTAAGTAATAGTTTGGAGACACTAAAGCTAGGGCATGATATAAATAAGTGAAGATGGGAGGTGAGCACATTCAGTTAAGGATTAATATTAGCAATGGCCAAAGCTGGGGACCATTCCATATTTCAGAAAAGGAAAATAATTGGCTGGGATATAGTCTTGAGAGGCCAGGCAATGAGTGCTAAGAAGTAATTTTAAAATTAGTATTAGTTATTTAACAGTTATTGGAATAAGTAGCTGATTTATGTATTTAGATGCTGGTAGACTTCCTTTTTCTTGGCAGGATGAAGTCTGAGACTCCTCTTTTCTGCTGTAAGCTTCTTGGTATCTCTCAGTAATACTTGGGTTATGACTCCTGTAGCTGAGATAAAATTGTTTCTTATCTGTGAGTAGCAAATAAAGTTGCTCAGGGGGACAGGGTTGTGTTGGTGATGTGTAATGGCTCCTTTGAAATTTTACACATGTTTAACTTTTAGTCTTTTTTTCCTACCTTGTACTGTGCTCTTATCCTGTATCTTTTGAGATATCTTTTGAATTGTTAAGTGTATGAGAGATAATTAAAATACACAACACAATGTAAGAGGAATTACTACTAGGAGAAATTTAAATTTTGTTAGTTTCTGACCTCATCATATAGCATCACTGAGTCTGTTTCATTTTGCATTTATTTATGCTCTTCATTAAATGTAAGAATGTGTAGTGTGTCTTTACCTGAGAGGTCATAAACTGATTTGCTCTGATAAGCTGAATCTGCCTGCAGAAATATTTTGTTTGCGCACCATGAAATCTTGTTTGTATGTATATGTGTGTGTTAACATTTTTTATTACTTGTGAAAGGTGAAAAATCTTAAGTTCTTGAAATTTTCACAGGATTAACAGATACAGTATGTGCCCTTTGTGGGCTGCTTTCATTACATTTGTCAGAAATATTCATGTTATGTAGGATCACTCTGTGCAGTCTCATTCCTGCATAAAGTTACATAGTATAACACATTTTATTTTCGTATTTTAACTGTTGGTGGACAATGGAATGTTCCCTATTTTTGTCTGTTAAGCAGAGCACTGTTTTTTGCACATTCTTGACCTTGGTTTTTGGTGAACAGGTTTCCTGATTCCAGTAGGGCTGAAATTGCAGGGTCGTAGTAGGATGTATGTTCAGCTTTAGTAGATGATGTCACACTGTTTTCTGAAGTGGTTGGGTTACATTTATGTTCCATGTAGCAGTGTATGAAAGTTCCAGTAGGTCCATATTCTCTTTGACACTTGCTATTAGCCATTTTATAATCTTAGTCATTTTGATGGCTAAAACTAGTATAATTTGGTGCTTTAAATTTGCATGTGTTTGGGTTATAATTGAGTTAACTGACAGCATTAAAAATGAGAAGATTTAATATAGAAAGACAGAATTCTGACTTTGAAAGGTAGTTCTTAGTATTGGAATTAGGACTGTTTATGGGGCACACTCCATTTTGCCTTACTCCCCTGATGGCTGACTTTTATATGCCTGGCTTCTTCAGGCATTGGAGTTTTGGATTCTTGCTTTAATATTTCAGATTTGCCAAATTGTTTTGTTAGGTATATGTCTGTTTTAACAGTTTTTATTATTTGTGAAAAAACATATTTCAGATCATGTTAAGACTTTGGAGGTAAGTGCAGGAAAATTTTATCCTTATTTTGTAAGCATTGGAAAACTGAAGCAGGAATGCTTTTTCTTTTCTTAGTACACTCACTTGCAGTGATTCAACCTTGTAAAGGAACCACACATTTATTTGTTGCTTAGTTTTTATGTATACAGAGTATTACATTTTCTTACTGCAGTTCTGTTTACTTGGCAGTGTGGTAGTAAACATAAACATGTTAGTACATTCAAGATCTTTGGGAGGTAACAGTTTATTTTTTTGAGAGCATTTAAGTTTTTGATTTTCCTGTTTCATTGGACATGGTATCCTCTAAGACTTAAATGTGGTTTGACTTGTGTTCAATTTAATTATTGATTCTTGACATTTTAATAATGCAATTCTAATAGTTTCAACTCGTTAGAGTTAATCTTCAAGGTACTTAATTTTTCAACTAAACTATTATACCAATATTTGTACTTTATATATTTACTTTATTTGAACCTGGTAGATTTATTTTACCAAAATATGTTTGTCAGTTCTACTAATTCTAGTAGGTAGTGAAGGCATAGGAATTATCTAAGATGGAATCCTGGCTCTCTTAATACCTTTGTAACGGTGGGCAAATGTTTAACCATTAAGCCTCAGCTCTCATTTTAAAAATCGATACTATAATTGTACTCATTTCAGAGTTGGGATTACATGTGATACAGTGCTCTTCCTGGCACATATTGAGGTTTATGTATTAATTGTTGCTGTTATTTAATATCAATAATACATCTAAAACCTTTACATTTCCTTTCTTCCCCCAGTTTTTGATAGTATACTTTCAGGGCAAGTAAAATAGCTACAGGTTGTTGA